AGCAGGTAATTTTCTGTCTATAAAACAAGCAACAAGAGTTTCGTTTAACAACATTCCCAATACAAATTTGGGATTGTATTCTTAGTCACTGTAATATCTAACACTTCATGTGTATGTTTGTTATTTTGCAGTCACAGTTGGCTAAACAACCACCTACTGCTGCAGGAAGGCCAGTGGTTAGTAGCAAAAATTTTAAATATCATCACATGGAAATCATTAAATTTTATATATTTAGAGGGTTACTTTTATCTGCACTGTCAAATATTGTTTGATCTAACTGTTTTTAACTTCATAGTATTTAAAGGCTCACAGTGCTCTCAAGTTATGACACTCCACAGTGAGTCACGACAACTTGTATTGACAGCAAGGGCTGAAGGTCCTGGCTTTCCTTTTTGTATTTTAGAGTGCATTTATGCCCGGAGGCATGTGGATTTTCAGGCTTCTCATGGGGATGAAATTAAAATCTTCTCTTGTGCTTTAGTTACACCAAAGTTAATAGTTTTAACAATGTTTTGTGAGTGTGAAAAGACTTGTACACAATCAGCAAAATCTAATCCTGTGTCATTTCGATTGCGTGAGATACTACATTTAAAATACAAAAGCTTAGGAGGTGTGAGAAATAACAAAATGCTTCATTTAATCTATTCTTACACTTCAGGTCTGTTGTTCTGTTGTTTTTTGGTTTTGTTTTTTTTTTAAATAGGATGCCTCACCAAGAGTTCCTGGTGGATCTCCTAGGACACCAAATAGATCTGTAACATCGAATGTTGCCAGTGTTACACCTATCCCCACTGGGTCAAAAAAGATTGATCCCAATATGAAAGGTACTTTTCCTTGTGAGGGCACAAATGCAACTGGAGAAGCAAAATAATTGCTTTGCCTGCTTGCTTTAATGTGCTTATTTAGATTTATTAACACACTAAATCAGCATTTACTTAGAAAATCTGTGTTGGTTTTGTGTTGTGGTTTTTCTTTCCTTGTTCCCCTTGTAGCTGGAGCTACATCTGAAGGAGTCCTGGCTAACTTCTTCAATAGTCTCCTGAGCAAGAAAACTGGTTCTCCTGGTGGCGCTGGTGGTGTTGGTGGCAGTCCAGGGGGAGGTGGCACTGGAGGTGCTGGCAGCAACTTACCACCATCAGCAAAAAAGTCAGGTATGATTAATGACATTAAAGATTGACTCAATCTAAATTGAGTGATGGATTGTTCCTGTTAGTATAGTTTATCAAAAGTATAAATACTACTATATTTAACTGAATGTTACATATATGTATATGCTTTTATATTCTATGTGCCTTTTTGCTTGTGTTTTCACAGCACTTTAGTATTGCCTTTTTGTGGCTCTCAGAGGAGCAAAGAAAAAATCTTCGTGTAGTTGTTTAAGCATGAATTGTGTCTACATCAGTTCCCCATTTTTTCCTTTTGTTTCCACCATTCCAATGAAATCACTTCTGCCATAAGCCTCTTCTAGTCTTAATTAAATAGGTTAGGGCTGTATTTTTTAAGCTGATTCTTTTTGACAATACTGTCACTATTAAAATAGCTTTAAATTTTCTTTCTCTAGAGTTCTAGTTCTGATGTGATAAGCACTTTGAGTTTGGTGACAGCCTATAAAAATACTTGCATGTTTTCTTTTGACAGCTGTTTATGTATGAGGCAATTAATAATTATTGTTAATCTAGAAATGTTTAATAGTGACTGTGCTAAAGCTAGATGCAGGACTACATTGTCATTTCTTGCTATTCCAATTAAAAATGTTTCTGTATTACCTAAGATCATGTGTACACAGACACCTTCCCTCCCTGCTTCCCCAGAGGTTATTAATGCTGCACTTAGGGGAAAATGCTGGTCTTTCATCGGTACCTCACACTTCCCAGTAACATTTTCTGTAAATTAACCCTGAATTTTTTTTTCACACTTCCCATCTCTAAGTGCAAAACTCAGTGGGCTAAGCAAAGTTTGAGTGCTTCCTAATGTGCTGTAGGCAAAGTCAGCAGTGCCAGTTTGAACAGCATATGGAGATTGTTCAAACAAATGCAGCTGACGCAATATGAGGCACAGAGAGCACCCACTGAAAAATCCTGTGGGGAGTGGCTGGCAGCAGGTTTGGATGATGCCAAGCAAACAGGCAGCACTCCAGAAAAGTGTTCTGTCTGGGGCTGTGGCAGAAACTTCAAGGACAAAATTTCATTATTAAGGAGCAAAACAGTTCTCAGATATTTCCTTCTATGCAACAAATAAAGGGTTAGGGTTATAGCCAGTTTAACATCAGAAATTACTATGTTTTCAAGGAATTACCATAAATATGAACAAATTTGGCTTAGATGTGGCCTCTTCACCTTTCTCAGTGTTTGCTGTCTGTATTTAGTGTCTGTTAAGACAGTAGTTCAGGATTTGAGAATTACTTTTTCCTCAGCAGCTTTGGGAAATTCCTCTGCTTAGTAGTTAGAATGTTAGTTGCTTTGATTCTAATACAGTATTATCTTTTGTTAAATAATTTGAAGAGCAGCAAAGTACATCTGGCCAAAATTACCTTTATGGATAGTTTCTGTTAATTTGCATCTTCAGAAAGAATGCTGGGACACTGCTACACTGCACATGTGTCAGAACATTCTTTTGCAGATGCTGTGCACTCTTGTCATAGGGTTGGAGTCCTAATACTGCACTGCCTTTTCCCATGTTGTCTCCTTCATTCTTGCTATAGAACATTGTGGGATAGAAACCTAGACTGAGGAGTAGGAATTAAAAGAGTGGGGGGAAATGGGGTGTTTTGAGCTTAAATTAGGCTAGAATGTGGCTGCACAAATGTTTGTGCCAGTTCAAGTTAGGGAGGAGATAAGTGGGTGAGGAGAGAAAGGGATTTGCCATCTGCAGGTCTGTGTGCACCCATGAGCACTGGTGTCAGGTTTATGCTGATCAAGTACACAAGTCTGGCTTTGCTGGACTTGGTGAAAGCCCTGATTTTTACATTCACCATTATTTCAAATACAAAATTATACAGAAAATTGTGTAGAAGCAGTCATAACTGCTAGTCTTAATAGTCTTCTGTATTTTATACTCTAACTCTTCAGAAATATGAAAGGATATGACTTTCTCTCTCCTGTTTCCTTTCTGTTTCTTTTGGGGTTTGGCCTTATGCCTTAATTGTGCACCTAAAGCATGCAGTAACAATTACTAGGATTTTTCTGATTTGAGAGTTGAAGGTACCATAGGCTTTTCATAAACATGACTGAATCATACACATTTTTTTTGTAGGTCAGAAGCCAGTTTTAACAGATGTTCAGGCAGAATTGGACAGAATTTCACGAAAACCTGAAATGGTCTCTCCATCATCTACATCTCCCACAGAAGGTGAAGCATCTTGAAGACACCAAATAAAACCAATTGTTCAGTTTTCTGGGATAATTCAAACTTGCCTCTGCCTCTTCCTTCAGTGACTGGAACTAAAGAACTGAAATATCTTTCAGAACACAAACCATTGATGTCTGTCTTTCTTTTTTATGTGTTGCCCAGCTTTACAAAAGGGAGCTGTACAGATGGAAAACAGTTATCACATTGTGTAGGAGCACTACTCACAGTGCAAAAACAGTAAATTAATTTTTTTCTGGGTTTTTGTTGAAAAGTCAGTGTAATTCTGTAAAATTGCAAGTATGTCCACTTAAGTGATAGGGGTTGCTTAGAGCAGGAAAACTGATACACACCACAGGCACTTAATTTATATTGATTTCCCAATCTGTTAGGTAAGTTTAATACTATCTTAAATAGATTAACCTCTACATGAGAGAACTACTGCTAGTTTTTGAAAGAGAAAAATTAATTGCACAAATATATAATAGCAACAAACTCCAGTTATACTTAAACACGTCATTGGGAATATGGTTAAAAAAATCTGTTTCATCTCCACTGAAGTTTACACTGCATTCAAAAACCCATGCAAAAATTCATTCTAGGTATAAGACTAAATTAGTGGCCGGGTTGTTTTTTTGTTTATTCTTCTTTGATTAATTGCAGACACTGAATAAAAGATGTATAAAGAAAAAGCAGAGGTTAAATGTACAGAATATCAGTATCCAGATTTGTCTATATATATATGGCTCAGCCTTAATGTCCCCCACTATGTTTCCCACACTACTTATGGTTTAAAATTGGTCATCAAAACTGTAATCAGTTAATAAAGTATTCTCTGCATTCAAATTTAAATAACTTTCATTGAAGCCATGGTGTTCTTGTTCATTTACAGTTACATCTAAGGATGTGGTGTAAAACATGCTTTTATATTTTTACTTCTCAGTGAATAACATCAGTGGCAGATATTTAAACATCCTTAAAGCGTTGTTTCTGGAAGGAAGGGGATAAATCTGCAGTGTTTGCTCCTAGGAGTGAAACTAGCTTATCTGACTTGGGTGGTTTGTGCTGCAGTGTTTTCAGAGCACACTCATTAGACTAAGGATATTGCTGCTGGCTGCAGTGTGTTGTCTAAGTAGTAGTTGACTGAGGTTAGGACTTTACTTAAGCTCTCAGTACACAAATGTTGAGCATCACTTTTTCCTCTGTGAAATTTGTGGTTACTTTCTACTTAGAGCCTCAGACTAGGGAATGTAAAAGGTATACCCTGATCAAATGATTACCAAGACACTTTAATGACTTCAGGTTTTCTACGTTTTTTTTGTTTTATTTTTTTTTTAATCAGTCCTACATTAATTTATCTGATTAGTTAGAAATCTCTATTTTGAACACTGGTACTCTTCCCCAGTTCTTGCATGCTGTAATGGTTCTAGTGAATTCACAGAATGGGTCAGGTTGGAAGGGACCAGAGTGGGGTCACCTGGTCCCACATCCCTGCTCAAGCAGGGCCATCCCAGAGCCCATGGCACTGGATTGTGTCCAGGCAGTTCTTGAGTATCTCCAGTGAGGGAGACTCCACAAGCGCAGGGCAAGCTGTTCCAGTGCATAGTTACCTGCACAGCAACGATGTTCTTCCTCACATGCCAATGGAGCTTCCTGTGCATCACTTTCTGGCTGTTTCCTCTTGCCCTATTGCGGGGCACCACCAAGAAGAGCCTGGCTCCATCCTCTTGGCACCCCTCCTTTGGATACTGGCAGACATTGATGAGGTCCCCTCTCAGCCATCTATTTTGGAGGCTGAATAGACCCAGCTCCCTCAGCCTTTCCTTGTGAGAGAGATGCTCCCTTCCCTTAATCATTTTTGTTCTCCTCCACGGGACCTGATCCAGGAGCTCCATATCTTGTCCTGAGGAGCCCAAATCTGGACACAGCAATTCAGGCGTGGCCTCCCTAGGGCTGAGTAGAGCGGCAGGATCACCTCCCCTGACCTGAGTTACCTCCATATTTTCAAAAGACTTAAATTTATTTACGAACATTTATCTTGTTGTGCACTTAACTCCCTCAAGTTAAGCACACTTGTTAAAACAGAAGATTGAATTGTGGACTGAGAAGTTTTAGTGGATATTCTTAGCTATGTCTTTAACTGCAGACCTGAAAATTTTGTTTATGTCAACAGTTCAGTTAAAGCTGGGGGGGACACATGGGGAAATCCATGACCTGCTGATGAACAGCTGTATAGAATAAATTGTCTGGAAGAAAAAAATTAGGCTTCTAATTATGGATGCATGGCATGCATCAGTATCAGAACAGTTGTCTAGGTTCAGTATGTAAACTTGAAACTGAATTTGGAACGTGTTCTAGAGGAAGGATCCTCTGATGATGAAAGCAGGACCCGTTCTCACACAACTGCAGTGGTATGTGTCATGAGGGTGGAGCTGGATTTTAAGGGCAACATTTTTAACATATTTTTGAAAGACAACTGCAGTCTCTAGGTTAGTTCATTTGAGGATCTAAACTAGTGGATACCGTCCATATTTTTGAAAGACAACTGCAGTCTCTAGGTTAGTTCATTTGAGCATCTGTCAAAGCACAAAACCCTTCATGAAGCTGGAAAACTGGCCATATAATGCATTAATAGCTATTACACCAGGTGCCCTTATTTGGGGAGGCTGGGACAGGGGAAAACCTTACAAATGACTACTCATAATTTCACTTCTTAAAACAGATGTCACTTCTGTGTATTTGAAGCTTCTAAATGTGTTTTTCCCTCAGCCCCCATAGCTTTGGAGTTTTCTGGTTGTTTTGATTTTTAAATTCTTATTTACAAATGCTTATTTACACAAAGACTGTCCCCTACCATGCCTTTTCATTCTAAAAGACTAAAGTAGCCTGCTTACCTCCTTCAAATTCTCTTAATGCTACTGTCACTTCCTATCTGCAGCCTGCTCATGCTGTCTGGGGGGAAAATGTACCACGAAAGGAAAATACCTGAGAATATTTCTGTGTAACCTGATGTCTTTGGCTTGTTGTTTCCCTCTGATGAGACCAAGGTTCCTGGGCTGGCTGCTTTGTCCTCTTGAGCTGCAGTTCCCCCAGCTCCTGCTTAAGTGAGAGTAGACAATTAAGATTGGATTCACCACAACTATCATGCAAAACACAGTCTCTGTGACTGAGGGCCCTTTTCACAAAAGGTATTGCCAGTAAACCCTGCTCCCTGTTCTCCTCCTTTCACCACCAAGTGAAGCACCAAACTAAATAAACTGAGTGAAAATACTGAAGCTAAATTGGCAAGAATATTTTCTTGCTCTAGGCTGGGGAGGGGTTAGGTTTGGGATTACCCCAATTTTTCAAAGAGTAACATAACAAATTATATTAATTTTGCTCTCGATCACTCTTCTGTGCCTCTAGTGCTGTTGGGTACAGTTTCAGACTAGCACATAAGATGCAGAAAGCAAGGAGATGATACAAGAACTACAGGGCATAATTTTAATAATACTTTTTAAATGATTTTCAGTATGAACACTGAAAAATGCTACAATATAAATCAACTAAATTCCTTTAGACTTTCAGGGCTAGTTCAATGAAGACAAGTTGCTGATTAGACTGAAATGAAAAGGTTTCAGGGGAATTTTGTAAATCTTCTCTTCCTCCTTCTCTACCCTGTTCCCATGTCAGTTCTTTTGGGTTTACTGGTTCTAGTAAAGCTGCTCTGCAAATTTTAAGCTTGAAATTTTTGAGTAAATGTCCATTTTATTTCCAAGCAGGTCATATTTTTCAGATGAAAATTACAATCTCTGGAACGTGCACATGGCTTTTAGGTTTTATGGACTAGCTACTATATTAACCTTAAAATTCTACTTCTGAAATGCAAGGACTGCTGCCTGTTGGGCTGCAGTCTCTTCTTGGGGAGCAAAGTTTGCAGTGGGACACCTGCAGCAGCAGAACTGTTGCCTATCAAACATCTCATAGCTTAATACTTCTCTGTGCTGTGCAGATGCATGCAGAAAACCACTGAGAAGAGTTAGCCTAAGCTTGCATTTGGAAAGTTGAGGATTGAGGATTTAGTAATAGGATTTACTTAGTAATAGCTGTTAAAATGCTAATTCTTCATCTTCAGCTGTTTAAAAATCACACATTCGAGCCTGTTTAATGTGATGTCACAGTTTGTGAAGTTCAGTTGCAATACTGAGCACAAAAATAGAGCCTCAAGAGCTAAAGAAAGTTCAGCAGATGCAACACATTCAAGTCTTCTCTAAGCTCATTGTTGCAGTACCCATTTGCTAGCTAATCATCCTGGATTTCCTTCATGTAATGCATGGGGATAGTCTTGAACAGAATATGTCAAGATGCCCATGTGGGAACACCAAAATGAAGGAAGGAGATGTGCCTCAGACAGGCTGTCTCCAATGGAGCTCCCTGAATTGTGCAGTAACACACACTTCTTCCTCATCACTCTTCCAATCAAACTAACTCTGTCTCTTTCAGTGGTTTGGGCTTCCAAGCTGCTTTCCCATTTCTCTACTTCCTTCTTCCTTGCCTTCTGGCAAGAAAAGCAAAAAATGCCATAACTGCATTTATGAAAATGAGAAAAGGAGAACATGAATTTGTGAGGCCAGTGCTGCCAGTTCTGAGTGTGAGGGACTCAGGCTTTAGTGTTGCATTGTAACACAGCACACAGAGCATGCCAAAGAGCCACTGGGACTCACTTGATGAAAACAGCACTGCAGCTGTGACCTGAAGCCCCCTTATTGCAGTAGCTGGCATTTACTCAACTGCTTCAAGGAACTCCAGCCACAGTTTTGGAAAATATTTCAACATGGGAGCAATAAGTGGCAACTGTCATACAGCTGTACTGTGTACACTGCCATCTCCTCTAGTCAGGGGGCTTTCTCTGTTGGTATTGTTTTTTGGTCACTATGTAGGGTGTCTTGGAGATGCAATGAGGGAGAAAACCAGGTCACTCTTCACTAATCTGCTTCCACTGATGTCCCTCTCTGTGCCTGGCTGACTGGAGATGTTACCACAGTTCAGCATCTAACTGTGAGGTTGCTTCTCTGCCACCATGTCCTGCCTTTAGCTCTGCTCCTGCCAGTCCAGCAGAGGCTGTGGTAGGGTAAGTACTTCTTTTTCTGGAAAACTGTCAGGTGTAGCACATAACCAAAGGAAATTAATAGCTGTATACCCGGAATGGGATTTCCATAATATCACAGTCAACCAGTTACTGTTATTTGCATTAAACCCTATTGTTACTTACAGTAACTGTTGTTTTAATTCCCTCTTTAAAGGAAAAATACTGTACTGGAAAGTTAGTGTGATAAAAAGGGTGAAGAGCAGCATAATGTAATGCTTTAAGTATTTTCAACTCCTATGCTGTTGTCCAGTTTTCATTCCTTCACTGACCTTACAGTTCCCTAGCTTTGCTGTAGTTTTGCTTTTCCTTAACCTCTTATAAAAGAAAATAAAAGTAAATTGGCCTCAATCAATCAGTTAAGCTTTAAATGGCAAGCTAACCTTTATCGTTCATGCATCGTTGATATGTATTTCCTGGAGAGGGCCTGAATGGGAAAACCACCTTAAAGACAGTAGAAACTGGAAGGAGGTGGACATCTATTTTATCTTTTGTAGTCTTGTTTTGTGTTTCTGTGGCCTGAAAAGCAGTCTGTCCTCAAGGCAGTTGTCTTCAGTACTAACATCTGTATTCATAATCTAGCAATGCTGCATGAAGGCATTTTAAAGACTTACAAGGGAAGGGCTACAAAATAGCCTTAGATGCTACTGAACATTTTAGAAGACCTGACAGCTGCTTCTATCTTGTTCAAGTCCTGTCTCTGTCAGACCACAGTGTAGCCTAGACATATGCTTTGTGGCTTTGGAGTTATTCATCCAGTTGTGAAATATTACCGAGGAAGAAAAGAAAACAAGAAGGAAATATCCTTCAGAAGAGAGATGCCAGCTTCTGTAATGTAATCTAATTTATAATGTACTAGTGTGAAAAGGGGACTGGGAACTTGTAAGTGATAACAGCAAATGTTCCTGACTACACCTACCTGCTCAGTCCTGTAGTCTGGGATGCTGCCAGCAGAGCCCTGTTACACTCACCCCAATCCCAGGCAGAAGCTGGGGCACACCCATGGTGATACTTCCTTTGTTTTAGCGGAAACACCCATGCCTCGGGAATCACAGGACTTGCCCTACTCTACTTGGGAGGAATTTGCCTCCCAAGCCAATTCCTGCAGCCAAACATTGTTTTTGACAGTGACAGGTCTGTATGATCCTGCCTAGGGACACTGTATTCCCCTGGATTGTGTGTTCTTACTGGGAGGAGCACACGGCCTGCTGGTACACACTCAGCAGGGAGCGTGGCCCAGTGCTTTGGTCTGGCCCATACTTCTGCATCTGCCCGCTTAAGGGGGTGCCCTGGCAGAGCTGAAAGTATCCCCAGCCTCATGGGGCTCTGTAGCACATTCCCACTGCACTGTGTGGTTCCCAAAGAGAAGCAGTGTCCAAACAGCCTGACCTGTTCCCTAAGCAGGGAATCTGCTACTATACAGCTATTAAGCAAGCAAATCGCCTCTTTTTCAACCTGTAGCAATCTTCCATTTCTTTGAGTTTAAACAAGTATAATTGAACTTGACTACAAAGGACCATAATAGCTCTGTGGGTAATACATCAATAATATAGAAGCAAACATAATACACCTTTGCTTACACATAAAAGGTTCAATCCACTCTTAGTAGGCAACAAAACTATAGTTACTTTGAAAAGCTGACCTGGGCAAAGGTATGGGAGTATATTAGAAGAGGCTTGGTGATATGAGTGCTTTCTCTCATTCCTTTGACAACAAGGAATGTCTTCAAAGACAATGACTCTTCTCCTGTACTCAGCACTGGTCAGGCCACACCTCGAGTGCTCTGTCCAGTTCTGGGCCTCTCAGTTCAGGAGGGACATTGAGGTGCTGGAGTGTGACCAGGGAAGGGCAGCTGAGCTGGTGAAGTCTGGAGCACGAGTCCTGTGAGGAGTGGCTGAGGGAGCTGGGATTGTTTATCCTGGGAAAAGGAGTCTCAGGGGGGACCTTACTGATATCTGGAACTGCCTGAAAGGAGGTTGTAGCAAGATGGGGATTGGGATCTTCTCTCAAACAACTCATGCCAGGACAAGAGGACATGGCCTCAAGCAGCACCCAGAGCAGGTTTAGGTTGGGCATTAGGAGGAATTTCTTCACAGAAGGAGTGATTAGACACTGGAATGGGCTGCCTAAGGAGGTGGTGGAGTCACTGTCCCTGGAGGGGTTTAAGGCAAGACTGGACGTGGTACTCAGTGCCATGATCTGGTGACACAGTGTTGGTGTTCAGTCATAGGCTGGACTCAATGATCTCAGAGGGTTTTTCCAACCTAACTGACTATGTGAATGTAACCAGGCAAAGCTTTGGCTTAAAACCCAAATTTGATACTGTAATCTTGTGTGACTCATGCAAACTTTACTTACCAAGCCCCGGCTGGCGAGCGGAGCCCAGAGCGGGCCTGAGGCGGCCCCGCGCTCCGCGCCGTCCCTCACGCTGCCGCCCGCGGCCGCCAGGGGGCGCGCCGCCGGGCCCAACGGCCGGGGCAACGGCCGCCCCGGGGCCCCGGGGCTCCGGGGCCTCTCGCCCTCCCCGCTCCCGTCCCGCCCGCCGCCCCTTCCCTGCTGCTTTCGGTTTCTCCCAGCTGACAGCCGGCTGCCCAGCCATGGGCACCGTCTACAACCGGACCACAGAACCGGAGGCGTCCCGCCGCCTGCCGTCGTTTTTGTCGCGGTTTTTCCCAGATGGCAGCCGGCGGCCCGGCCCGGCCATGGGGAACCGCCCCGTCTACAACCGGACCACAGAACCGCAGGCGTCCCGCCGCCTGCCGCCCTTTTTCTTGAGGTGTTTTCCAGCTGGGAACCGGCAGCCCAGCCCGGCCAGGCAGAGCCGCCCCGCCTACAACCAGACCACGGAACCGCAGGCGTCCCGCTACCTGCCGAGCTTTTTCTTGCGGTGTTTTCCAGCTGGGAACCGGCAGCCCAGCCCGGCCAGGCAGAGCCGCCCCGCCTACAACCAGACCACGGAACCGCAGGCGTCCCGCTACCTGCCGAGCTTTTTCTTGCGGTGTTTTCCAGCTGGGAACGGGCAGCCCAGCCCGGCCAGGGCGAGCGGCTCCGCCTACAAGCCGACGGCGCAACGGGAGGCGAAGACGCCCCGCCCGCCTCCCTTGTGCTTTCGTTTTTGTCCGGCGGGGAGCCGGCGGCCCGGCGCGGCCATGGAGAACGGCGGCGTCTACAACCCGACCACGGAGCCCCAGGCGAAGGCGGCCCGCCCCCGACCCCTGGGCTGCACCCTGCGGCGCCTGCGGGGCTGGCGGCTGCCGGTCAAGGCGGCCCAGACGGTGAGTGCCTCCTCCCCTCGCCTGCGGGACGTGCCGGGCCCGGCCCGGAGGGAGCGCCCCTGGCAGGACGGCTGCCCGGGCCGGGAAGAGGCTTCCAGTGTCCCGGCGCTGAGCCCGGCGGGGCGGGGGTGCCCCGCTCTGGGATGGAAACGAGCGTGTTGTGGTGACCTTCGGCTCTAGGGCGGTTTCCTGCCGCTTAAAAATTAAACTTCTCGGTGATCCAGAGCAGGCTGGGGAGATGGCCGCACGCAGGCTTCGAGGGAATGGATTGTGCCTGTCGGAAAGGGCTGGCTCCGCCGGGAAGATGTCCTGGCTTGGGACGTGGCACGGAGTCACTAAAGTTGTGCGGACCTGTAGTTCAGGTGGAAAGCTGGCGTGGTGCCTTGTAACGCTGGTTCAAAGTGATTCATGGTAGGGAAGTGGTGGGAGTGTTCCTTCTCCGTGTCCGAGCTGCCGGGGCAGGTGGCTGCTGGCACCGGATGGTGCTCGGAGCTGCAGCCGCCGGGTCCGGCTGCCCGCTGGCCTTAAACACCGGGCTCGGAACCGCAGGGATGCCTCGCTTTCTTCTGAGCGCCGGGTGGGATGAAAACAGGAGGAAGAAGCCTTTGGTTGAACCTCACCATAGGGCAGTAGAGCTGGGAAGGGCAGTGCTGGGTCATGAGCTCCAGATCTGTCTCTCTTGCTGCTCCTGCAGCCTGTTCCAAGCCTGTCAATCTGTGCTGTCCATACTAAAATGAAGGAGCCTGTTTCTCCCATGATTTGTGGTAGAAAATTGCACCAGAAACCCGTAATCATGGTGGCCCATTGCATGAGACAACACTTCATGTCAGGCAGCCCTGGGCTCACCAGGAAATAAAAGGCTTATTTTCTGCCTTTTATACATATTGTTGCTCCTGAATCAAGCAGCTGGGCTCCTGGTGCAAGGTCCTGTTCAGTGTTTGGTGATGGGCTCTTCCAAAATGTCCCAATGCAACTGCTGATAAGGATGTGAGGAGCATCACTCTGAGGTACCAGCAGGGAATGAGTGAAACCCGTGGTGGTAAAGGGCAGCTGACTGCAAATGCGTGTCAGCCTGCGTCTTGCAGCCAGCACAGTGGCTGTTTGGTCAGATGTGTCATGCTCACAGGAATTGTAGGTGATTTCCAACTCTTTCTTGTTACTTCACCATTGCAAAAAAGAGGACGTTTGGGTTTTAAGCTTCATCTCACACACAGTCAAAACCGTCAGCCAGAAATGTAATACTCTTTAGTGTTCATAAAGTGGTACACTGGCAAAAATAAAGGTTTCTAAGAGTGTTTAAAAAAAAATCACACCCAAGAATGCTTTAAATGAATATAATGGAACATAAACTTTTAATTCATCTACTGGAGATTATTAAAGCAAGATTTGCTGGGTTCGGCTCCCTGACAAGCAAAACGTTTATATGAATAGGTTCATTGACTAAAATAAAATAAGTGATTATGTAGGCAAATCTACTCATGTCCCAAAGCCTTAAACTGTTTAATAATTTTAAATGCTTTCTAAGTAGAAAAAAAGAAAATTTATCGTTTTCCTAGACAGGATGAAAAGCTGCTTGACATGTTCTTAAATAAGTAATAGTTTATGGCTTGCACCCGTTAGTCAGTGAGAGGAAAAAGAAAATGGGCTTCCAGTTGTTCACCCTCCTAATTTCTAACATTTTCCCGTTTTGTTTTGTAACCTTTATCAAAATGCAGCGATCTTGAGGTCTGGGTCAAAACACTTTAAACAAACCCTGGAAAGTCCTGAAGGTGGAAGCCTCCGTATTTACAGTAAAAGGTTCCTGTTCTGGGAAAGGGTTGATTTCTAGAAATGTTAGTCATGGTCATTGACTTTTGGCTTTATGTTATAACTGTGGTTGTTACTGGGATTATGCCCTGATAATTGCTGATGTGGACTGCTAAACATGGTGTTGGAATCAGAAAGTGGGCTCTGTTCAGTGTAGGGGTGGTCAAGAGCTTTATAAAACACTCTGAAATCACCTGCAGAAAAATGGCTTCTAGACCTAAGAAATACTTTTCTTCAGATGAATGTGAATAATGGTATGAACCTTAGCCAGTTCTTTTGAGCAAATTAAACAAGGAAAATGTTGCTCCTAAAAGTCACAAATGTGAGTGCCAAAAGGATGCTGGGAGGCATGTTATTGCATGTTTTGTTTGGATGGATTTTTATTTTTTTAAATAGTTGGAATGTTTTTGTTAGTCCATGACTGATTCAAATTCAGCACAAAGGTAAATGGCACAATGTGTATTGTGCCAAGATTGAGGTAGAAACTAATTCTTACCTAAAGTAGGACAAGTTGTCATCAACTATTGTTTAACTTGAGTCAAAATGCCCTAGCTGGAAAGGAAAATTGTAATTCAGGCTTAAAAATCAGCTCATTTTTGAGCTGTTAATGTCCTGTAGTAGCCCGAATTGTGCGAACTAAATAGAGAATTAATATGTGCACCCACCCGAACTAGAGGATTTTGTATGGGGAATCCCAGTACCTCCCAGATGCTGAGATCTTCACAGGATTGTTGGCAGCTTCATTGATCTGCTCTATTTTTGTAGCAATTCACTTGTTAAATCTTCTTTATAAAATTGATATTTGTTTAGAAACTTCCAGCAGTAATGTCAGTATCAGTGAATAATTTTCTGCTGGTAAGAGACAGATGAAGATGTTTAATTTCTGGTGTATATACAGACAGGACTAATAACAAAATTTTAAAAATCCAAAACAACTGCTTCTCCAACCATGCTTTTGGTGTTGAAAACTTTTATTTTTTGGTATCAGTAGGACAACAGAGGAATTTTTTTTTTCCTGAAAGTGATATCAAAGAGCAAGTTAAGAAATCCAAGCAGAGCTCTCTGGCACCTTATAAATGTGCTGCTGATACATTCATTTAATCAAAGCACTTACTCAAAGTTCTTTGAGCCAGCTTTTAAAAAATTTATGTACTCTATTTCATGACTCAGCTTATTAATAAAAAAAATGAATATCGACTTGGACAAGTCCCACACAGGATTGTACTTGGTAAATCTCAGTTATTTGACACTGAGCCCTTTATAACTGCTCTTTGAGTGGGATTTTTTCAACTTGCACACTCAGTGGAGAAGCTTTTTTCAGCTATTTAGATCATATTATGGCTATCTGGACATGTACTTTCTTTTAAGGACAGGTTTATTTTCTTTCTGCTCTGTTGCAGCCCAAGTGAAAGTGATGACTTTCCATTTCCAGTGCTTATAAAAAGAGATAAGTTTTCATGTACAGTGCTATCTCACAGCTGACCTTGTGAAAAATGTGAAATTGGAAGTCATTGGATGCAGTTATACACCCATGTTTAGAAATGCAAAAAAAAACCATCCCAAACCATAAAAACTGGAAAGTCAGAGTTTAAAACATTCCTGGACTGACATTATAGTTCACTGGTTTGGGTGCAAGGGCTGCTGAGAAGTTTGTGTTGCCAGCCACTGTGGGAGAGAAAGGAAGCATGAGGAGGCCTGATAGTAACATTGATGTTTCCCAGCTCCCATTCTTTCCCTTTCTGAGCTCCTGTTTACTTTATATTGTTGCACTTCCAAAACGTGGTTCTCTGAAGTGCTCTTCTGAGACCTGGCTTAGTAAGGGGAATTTACACTTCCTGCCACTAAATCGTTGTTCTTGTTTTTACTGTGAGAAAACTGATACCAAAGACTGGTGGTTATTTTCCAAGAACAATTCTGAATCTTAAATTTAGATTTATTTTTTTAAGCAAAAAATTGTTGCCCACATAATGTTATTAAAAATGTGATCATCATTCTCATATCAGTCTCCATTTTATGACCCTGTCTGATTCCTTCTCATCGTTTCATTTTAATTTGGTGAAGTCCTTACTACAAAGATCTGTAAAGCTATGCCGAGTTTATGGGATGAAGGAAACTAGCAAGAATTGGCCAAAATAAGCAAGAGTTAAATAAAGCAGTATTTTTTCTTGTACAATTAAATAGTAGAAAATCCAGCAGCAGGGATATGGTGACTGTATAGGAAGTAAGTCATGTTCTTTTCTCAAAACACACTGTGGCAGGAAGATGAAGATAAACCTCTGCATAGATTAAACATTGTCCAACATGCTTGAACACAGTGTAAGGTTTCAGTTCCTACGAGAGCAGTCATTACTGGGTCACAAGCATGTGAGTGTTGGGTTCACTTTCTCTGAAGTTTTATCAAGTGAGGTAACATCAGCTGTGAGTGAACTTTTAGGGAGGTAGCTGTTAGGGAGGGCTGTCCGGTTTCCCCCACTGCCCTGAACCCAAATACGTTCAGAACTGAGTGCAGCAGCAGCAGCATTTTGCAGGGTGTGTGCTCTCCATGCTGCCTCATCTGCTTCAAACTGGCAGTTGCACAAAACCACAGGAATATTGTCTGTCCAATCAAGAAGCCTCTGTTTGGCTGTGTGCTCAGCTTACCTGAGTGTACCTTATGGACCACTTTTAACAGCCAAGTGTAAACCATGTCATTGTGTAATTATTTCTGTCTGTAAGAAAATAGTGCAGAACTTCACCAAATTCTTCGTAGATTAAGCATTTTTGTCACAGCTAGCTTTATTAATCTTTGTATCAGAGATGCCTGTTTGTTGAAGATGTTAGAGACTTGATCCATCTCAAGCATGTTATTATTTGTTTGCAGATTTTCTCTCTTGTGGCTGTTGTTTGTGAAGAAGTTGTGGACGATTGCATCACTTGTGGTGGACTTTACTTCTTTGAATTCATAAGCTGCAGTGCCTTTCTTTTGAGCCTCCTGATTCTGTATGTGTATTGCACTGATTTTTATGAATCACTGGGGGAAGAGAAAGTGAAGAAACTGGTAAGAAAACTTTTTTTTTTTTTGAAAAACAAAACATTTCTTCTAAGTGCATAAAGTCTGCTGTGGAGTAAAAAGTCTATGCAAAATGAATCTCCTATTCTTCTCCATGTAAAGGGTAGATTAAGGTATCTTATAGTTTAAAAATGAGCCTACTTTGAGAGTTTATATTGACATATTTGTCAAAGCTGGCTGCCTGCAGGATCTTAGGACTTGTGTGGAAAAGTCTTTCCACATTAATGCTACTAATACTACAGCATAGCCACCGCAGATCTGTATCCATATGGAATACAGTTTAGCACCAGCATGATGCTTGCAATTAAAAAAACAACAAAAAACAAAGTTTACCCTATGTGTTTTCCTACTGGGTGTAGACTACCTCCTTTTTGGCAATAATCATAGCTCTTTACAGTTTATGGCTTTATACTGCAGAAGAACCAGCAGTGGGAGAAAGTTGCTCTGTGAAGTCAGTAGGAATGTTATTCCATCTCACAAGTGTCCCTTCCTATGTGCCTTCAGAGCAAACAGTAGTGTCTTTATGTGAGGGTACAGATAACAGAGTGTAGTAAAAGGTTTGAATGAGCACATTTACTGACAGTTTTCTGATTTCTTAAATGTTTACATAAGGAATAAAGCTACCATGGTTGTCCTGAGCTTGAATTTGATGGTGAAAAAAGGTTAGATGAAATTAATTAAATACTTTAAAAATACAAAAAAAGGGCAGACTCCTTTAAGTAGCTGATAAAACTGTTTAGATAGCTGATAATGTTGAATGTCATTTGGAATTTGGTTGTAAAATGTATTTTCTGAAGCTTCCACTAACATCAAAGTATCAAAACATAAATTCACAGGCAGGTTAACTCTGCTGTTTTTATGATGTTTGTTCTTTTTAGGTAACCTATCTACAGTTAAATTACATATATATTTTTTTATATATATTTGCAGAATTTTTGGGCTGTGCTGGTCATAGGTGCCTCGTTTCTGTTAGCATCAATAGTGTTTTCTATAACCTGCTCTGACTCTGCTGCTGAAAGTGCTGCATATGTAAGTCTTAAAATGGCAAGATTTACTTTGTCTTTATCTGGTATGTTATTTTCTCTGCCCTCTAAACTTCACTCAATTTGCAGAGAAGAAAGTGGGCAGGGAATAGAGCTCAGTGCATTGTGATGTTTCAGGAGGAATTACCTATTTCAGATCTTCCAGAAACTTACCATAGGAAATCCAAAGAGCTGGCATTCCCCAAGGTTCCTGGAAAGCTCTATGTGCCCTTGTAGCTCCCACCTTTTGCCTGCTGCCTCAGATTTGTATTATTTCCTGTCATCTCTCACTGTTTAACATTGTCATCTCTTGAAGCTTGCCCAGTTCTGTAATACACTACTTCTGAAATTTCTGTTTTTCCTCAATTGTCCTTTCATAATGTTACCTCCTCACAAAGTCATCAAGAAGTCCTGTCTTTTGCTTTTACAGAGCACATGTGGGCAACACTGACTTGCACAATTGCAGTAAGAGCAGCAGATTCCTCAGTGACAGAAGTAGTAGAGCAACAGGGCATTCATCTCCTAGGGAACACTCAGGACGCTCAGGGAAAGGCACTAAAGGGGCTTTTGGGATGCTGTGGATGTCATAATTCCCATGTCATTTGAATACTTCTTTTGAGTAACCTTGGAATTGTGAATGTGTGAGTTTAAAAGATCAAATTCTTAAATGAGAAAAAATGATTTGGTAAAAAAAAGCAATATAATTCTGTTCCACAGCAGCATCAGCTATTAGAGATACACACTTTTGTAAAGTCATCTTAAGTGATGTAGATCTATTTAGACCTAATAGTTTGAGCATAAATCAGGTGTCAGCTTTGCTTTTTCTGGTACAGAAAAAATAAAAACTACTGTGATCAAATACTTAAAATGTCAAATACTTAATGTCAAATTACTTTGGTCCAAACCAGTTGTGCAAAATTTAGGTAGGTAGAGTTAAAATAATGCGTATGTTTCTTTCCTTGTTTGAAAAAAAGCTGCCTTCTCTTTACCACTTTTTATCTTGCCATGACTGGTAACAAAATGTCATTTACAAAATGTCATTTCAGTCTCCCTTGCTGGCCAGGCTCTGCAGATCTTCTCTTCCTTCACCTGCTGTGTGTTATTCTTCTTCATTTCCTCTCATCAATCAGCAGCCCTCTCTTGAATAAATAGTCTGCTATATGCTATGCTACTTTAATAACTGATTTTGGCAATGCAACTAATATACTTCTGCAATTAAAGGTTGATTAGAACACAGTATAAGGTTCACACTTGATTAAAAGAATGAAAACCGTAAAAACTAAAACAATGAATGTGCTAGAATGATGATTTCTGATCTGTGTCTAATTTAAATGTAACTATTGATTTAAGGAGGACTGTAATCTTAATATTACAAGCATTATTAATGTATATACAGTGGTACAGTGAATCTTTCCAAACAGTGTTAGAATAAATACTGTTACTGTTTATGCATTTTGAAATCACATATTTCTGTCCTTTTCACAGGTATTTGGATTTTTTGCAACTTTTGCATTTGCAGCTGAATTTGTTAGAGATCTCTATGAACTCTGTCGCAAGCGAAAACAAAACATCGTTGGACGCCCTCAAAATCCTCGTAGCACTCCGAGTGCCACAGAAAATCGGCCACTGAATAAACGCTAACTTCCTGAAATTGTTTCTTTTTCTTTTTTTTTTTTTTTTTTTTTTTTTTTTTTCTTTTTTTCTTTTTTTTTTTTTAATTGGGGCAAACTAAAATGAACTTTCAGTGCACTGTAGGTAACAGCTTCTGTTTCTTTGTTCTAGTCGATTTTGTACACATTGCTCATCACAAATTTTTATGGATTCTTGGTCAGGTAATGGCATTTTGAGTGTCATGTTCTAAGGTACCTGGTCCTGCCACCTGCTGGGATGACAGGCACTAAAAAACCTTGGGTCTAAACAGAATAACTTCAGGACAGCAGTGTGCTGATTTGATTTTGACAGAGATGCCTAATTAAGGTTAATGTCTGAGGCATAAATTCTGAGCTATAACCTGAAGATATTTCCTGATTAAATGCTCCAGATGTTTCTGTTGTGAGTTAAAAATTAGCACAGCAGAATTATTTTTTGTACTTCTTGGTCAAACTGAATACAAAAGGGATACCTAACTGGAATTTACAGGAATGTTTATCCTTAAGTAAGGGTTTTGAGGTTGTTTTTACTACTCCAATGTCTCAGTTCTGTCTGTGGAGATCAGTTTAATGCTATAGTGACTGTGTGGGGTTTATGGGGAAGGTAATGTAAATGGTATAATGAGGAGAGAGTTTTGCACTCCATGATTTTTAAAGTTTGGACTTGTATGCCAGAATCTTCTTTCAGATGGTTTCAAAAGCTGTAACATTTGCAGGAAGAAACTTGAAAAGCCAGCAATGAGCGGAATAAGATAAAGAATATGTATTTTACATGAAGCAAATGAGAAAAACCTGATTGAGTGCTTGAGACATTTGCTGTCTCCCTTGCGTTAACTGCATTTCACCAATATCCCAACCTGGCGTGTTCCCAGTCCTGTAACCTGTTGTGCTAGCATGAGACCAAGCCCTCCAGAAACTGGCTGTGCTGAATTTAGGAAAGGAAGAGGAAGCTGTTTTAAGACAAAGGACTGTAATAGCAAGTCAAAATTGGTTTTTTTTCTCATTACTGCCACTTTCTGATGAGTGTGATTTTGTGATGTTCTCTCTGTGGCCTGAGACTTAAGCCTAACACTACACTTTGCCAGGTGGTGTGAAGCACCAAGTTAAAGCCACAGCTTGGTTTTAGAACTATGCATAGAAGAGAAACTTTCCTTCATAGAACTTTCTATGTTGTAAAGAAGAAATGCTCTTTAGACTGGCTTTATTTTATTTTCATGTATTTATTAGTGTCTGTTTGCACTGAAATCTGATTTCAGTCACTGCTTGCTGTTGCTATGTCAGATAACTGGGTAGATGGGAGATGTTTGGTTTACAAGCAGTGTTACTGGTGATACAAAATATCCATAATGAGAATTACCTCCTCTATGAGCTGCAATGTCTTACTCTGGGGACCATGCCAATATAAGTAACATTCCAGCAGTCTTGTTTTGGTTTCTTTTTATTGCTTAGAGTCCTGCTGAATTTTTTTTTTCCACACCAAAATGTCTGTAGTCTTTAAATTTTAATCTGTAATTGGTAGCTGTAAATAAAGTGTAAGAGCACCACTGTGCTACTAAGTATTTATTAAGCAATGCAGCACCGTGAATGGACTTTTATCTTGAGGTAATTTCTCCTGTTACTTTTCTCAGCCTGAAGATAAGTTAATTGATGTCTGGGTTTTTTTTTCTATAGGCTTTTCCTCACCTAAGTGATGTGCTACTGATGTCCATTCCTGGAGATACAGAAAGGGATCTGTAAAGTCGTCTCCTGGCCTTGGCAGTTTACCTGGCCATAGTCTGTCACACAGTAGTTAAATACCAGGAGCAAGTCACAGAATGGTTATAGGTTTAAGGCAGTTGCCTAAAATGTTGCTTCCAAACCAGTTGTTGGCTAACATGCATGACAGTGCTGTTAATCCTTGCACCTCGTAAGGTGTTTTTGCTGTTTCAAAATAGCTGAGAAGCAGATTTGCGCGTGTGTGTGCGCTGTTTTCTGCTTTTGTGAGGTTATTTTTTTAACTGCTTTATCAGCTTCCTATATCCTAGCTTTCCTTATCACTCCTATGTCCTCTGCCCTCCCAGTCTAGGTGGGGGAGAGGCTTCCTTGCCACAGTGACTGAGCAGACTTGTCTGCAGTCTTGACGTGCCCCTTTGATGCCTCTGGTGCCAGGTGCTAGCTTTAAATGTCTGTCTCTTAATTAGACTGATCCTAGAGAATGCTGTTGGAGCTGGATTAAATGTCTGGTTCTGCAGGAACTCTGTGTGAATGGCTGGATGCCTCTTACCCCTCGTGCTCTGACAGCAAAGCCCTTTGCTTGTTTCCCAACCTGCTTCTGATTAAATCAGCCAACCTTATTTAAACCACCTACTTAAATTGCTTCCATTAAGGTGGTTGATTTTGGCTTAAGCAGATCAGGGGTTGTTCAGGAGAGTGATAGAGGCTCTGGCAGAAATGCTGTTAGATACAACAGCCTCAAATTTCTTCTGTTGGCAAAGTGAACGTCTCCCTACATCATAACTGGTGGTAAAGCCTTTTGGAAAGAAGCAGCTGGCCCAGTACATCTCTGTGGGAATTGTCTTCTCCATTCTTCACCACAGTGCTTGGCAGTGGTGTTGGAGCCTGCTTGGACACTCAGCTTTGGTGTTTTCCAGCTGAACCTGTCAAGGTTAAGGCTCTGCAGCCACTTCCAAGGCTTTTTTTCAGTGCCTTGAGAATCAGTGGAGAGGATTTTTCAGGATACGTGAGGACTTGTCCAGTGGTTGGACTGTGAACTTCTGCTCTGAAGATCTGTACTGGGCATTGTGTAGATTGTGAGTGTTAATTTTTGTGTGTGATGTTTAGCCCACGTTAAAATCACAGTGCTGCCAGTGCCCTTTGGTTCTGAGTATGGGAAGGAATTGTGCCTTACTGCCTGTATCCTGTGCTTGAAAAGAGCAGGGAAGGGTTGTGGTCTGTTACACGTGAGTTCTACCTTTGCACTTCCAACTGACAGAGCAGTGGGTGTTCTCACACAATTCTCAGAGCTCAGCACAAGGTGGTTTTGCATAATGGCTGTCGTGGTGACCCTCGTTCAAACTGGTGCAATAAAATACCAAGCTTTCTACATGGAAGGGAAATTCTTAGTGAAAAGTGTCAAAGGTTCTATAAAATTGTAGCAAATAAAGATTCTGGTAGTGCCCTATGGATGGAAATTAATCTTTTTTTTAGTCTATTGCTGTAAACATAAGCAGCTCTCTGGATATTAAATTTTATGCTGAACAGAGCTATATGTCACTTTTAATACCATTAAGAATTTAAGTGATTTTTAATTATTATTAAAGCAGGATGATAATACATTAATTTTGTATATATAAAGCAAGAATTTTGTAGTTTCCAGTGGTGCCTTGAATTTCCATCTAAATAATTTTTCAATGCTTAAATAGTTTTTTATCATTCTAAACCTGTGATCTTTTTTAATACATTATGTTTTCTTGATCTACGGAACTTTCTAAAATATTTTGTAATAATTTTTTAAAATAAAGGTTTAGTAAATAAGTGTTTGTTGTTTTTGCTCCTATGATTTGGTGTTGCTATGTACTTCTCCCAAAACCAGCCATAGGAAATAACATCATTCTTTTGTTCCTGGTTTGGAGGAAAGGGCCTGCATTGTGTTTGCCTGTTCCTGGGGAAGAGGGCCCAACTGGATATTCTCACTAGACGTTCCCAGGAAGAAAGATCTGATAAGGTCAGTATTGCTCCTGACCACAGGGTCCAGCCTAAGTAGTTTTCAGTGGCTTTTACATGTGGTCTGTAAGTTACTGTGAGAAGAATAATCAGGTGCTGCTTCCAATTGTCTTGATCACATGGAACTGAAAAAATAAAGGGGCAAACTTGTTAAAGGAAGGAGCACAACCTAGCAAAAGGTTTTGAGAGCAAATAATTTATTCTGGTATAGAAAAATGCAGGTCACTGACTTCCTTGGTTGAGGAAGAGCTGCTTGATCTGTAAAAAATTATTTGGCTGATTGTCAGTGGTAGGGGGTGAGGAAAAGGAAGCAAACCTGCATGCGTTGCTTTTTGGCAGGGGAGAACTTTTTTGTTTCATAGTCCTGCACATTACTTATTACCTGGTGGTCATCTTGTACACAGGAGGAGAATGACACTTCCTTCATTGTTGGCACAGAAAGTGAAATGCCACAGTATACTTTGCTTTATTTTGTAACATGAAAAGATGAAATAATTTTAAAGATGAAATTGTCTCTTTGATGAAGTTGCCAGAGATGAGTGTAATAGTAAGAACTCAAAAGGGGAAAAGGTCTCAAATGCTTTTAATTACCTAAATGCAAGAAAACAATCAAGGCAAGATGTTGTATTAGAAAGATACGTTAGTGGTGAATTTTACACTATGAGAGAGTAAGTCAGGAATATTACAGATTTAGTAATTTGAAGCTTGACCACACAGTTTAAGTCATGTTATTGCTAGAATCATGACAGCCCCCTTCTCAGGAGCCTAATCCAGGTTGGTTCAGTGTAAATGACAGCATGTAGTGCAGCAGGGCAGAAAACGGGCTGGTAACCCACAGCTTTCCCCTGTGAGTGCACAGGCACCACCTGGTCACTGTCTGTGTGTCCCTCGGTCAAGGCACAGATGTGTTTCCTTGCTCTGGGATGCCTTTTCTCCTTACAGGGAGGAGCAGCACCAGCCCCCTGCTCTCTCACACTGCGGTCGTGCAGGAGCCAAGCGGGGGTCACTGCTTGCCTGGGCTCGGCGTGTGGCTGCCCCTTGGATTTGCAATGGCTATTCTTAGCCCGCGGAAGGAAGCACAGGGAAGGGCAGAAATGTGTTTTGCCTTGTTCCTGCCGTCTGCACAGGAACCTGCCGAGGAGCTGCAGGAGGGAAGGTTGTCCACAAGAGGGCAAAGATGATCCTGGGATTGAAATTACTGAAGGACTCCGTCCTCTTCCCACCTGTATTTCCAGTGGGACTGAAGCCCCCACGTCCCTCTATTGTCAATGTGGCTATAAATTGAACTGTGCATTTTAGG